CGCGACCGGTGGCGGCCGGGGAAGGGGGAGCTGCGGGACGCCGGGGTGGGCTGAAGCATCCCGCTGCCTCCCGGAGGTGTGGGCAGGGTGAGAGAGGCACCCACTGCTCCTTCGAAAGAATTAAAACCAAGTAAATCAAATCAAAGTGGGAAATGCCGCTGATGCCGAGGCATCTGCGAGGTTTCCGCTGGCCCAAGGAAACGCCTGGGAAGTATCTGTGTGAGGGGAAACAAATGGAAAATGCCCGGGGTGTCCGCTGGCTGCGACCAGGGGCAGGTGGGGCCGTCTCTGGCCAAACACAAACTCAGCTCCTGGCCTCTGCGGGATGTGCTTTTCTCTGTGAGAAGTCAAAATGTTAACATGAACACGATGTAATAAAGCACAGTATTGCAGATTGTGTTTAGTCATCTTTGCAAGGCCCTTTCAGTGCTGGCTTCTCTGCGGGAGTACTTCATGCGAAGTGTTTAAATTCTGTACATAAAATTAAATTTGCAACTCTTTCTCAGAACTAGCCTTGAGATAATTGTCACTTTATCTGTGCAAGGACATAGGGGGCTTGCAGTTCTCTGCCTTGCTAGATGACTGGTCGCTCACATTTAACCGTATTTAATGTAGTTGATACATGACACTTTTAGTGAGGAATTCTGTTTCCAGGTTTCTGAGGATTTTGAGTTAGGCAGCCTTTGAAGGACATCATGTTTTTTTCTTAAACACGGTGGAGCAAACTTGCACTTAAATCTGTTCCTCGCTGTCATTCCTTTAACTTTGGGAAGGTACTTGGCTCTCAGAAAATTGCCTAAGTTGGTTCCATATCAGAGGTGCACCTCAACAGAGTCTCTCTCCCAAGGCAACTAAGACCAAACTTCTTAAAAAACCCCAAAACAACCCACATTTATTTAATTTTTTGTAGGTATGTGTTCCCATTTGCCATATCTAGCCCTACTAACATAAACCTCTGTCTTTTCTTTTGCCACAGACTGAAGGTTTCTCTGAAGCTTAATCTTCAAGATGAAGTTCTTACTAGCAGTTTTCTTTTTCGTGTCATTCTCCTTATGGGTTGAAGAAGTCTGTTCCAAAGAGAAGTCTTCAAAGAAAGGAAAGGGGAAAAAGAAGCAATATCTATGTCCATCGTATGTTCCTTGGTTTTTTTATGCTTGTGTATGATGGCGATCTTGCCATATTTTTAACAGTGGAAATTAAGTGACAATTGAAGTAGAAGGTGATGCTTTCTGCTGAGAGAATGGGGTTTGGGGTGGGAATGGGAGGAAGAGGGTTTGACCAGCGCCAGAGCTAAGTTCTGTCAATGAGTGTGTTTCTTCTGCAGCAGGTCCTCTGTTTTAATGAAAGGAAGAATCTAAGCCATAGTAAATTGTTTCTTTCTCTGTGGGGGATTCCAGCCCAGTGTCTTGCTATTTATGGGGACACAGTAATGTAGTCCCATAGTGTTATGCTGTCTAGCGTCATGGTGCAGGTGTACTGAAGAAAGCAAAGAGGATGGAAAACTGTCGTACTGAAATTCAGTTTCTGGTTAGCTTAGTTCTGTAAGAGAAGGCTTGTCCTATGCGTATTCTTACTGCATGTTGGATAGAACTAAGGTCTTCAGCATCTTCCATCAATGATTTACAGTACGATAACTTTTATGGAGGTGGATTGATTGTTGCTATAAAGCATGGCCTTATGGAATAATCTCTCTGTAAAAATACAGAAATTCAAATCTGTGATTACCCAGCTGAATAGGGAGCGTATTCTGGACACTTACGGTTACTTGATGTTAAAAATGCTCCCTCTTTCTAATGCTTACCACGTTTTAGGTTGTGATCCATAGGACAATACAAATTTGTGAGGGCCTCTTTTGTCATTTTCCTGGATAGCCTTGCTCATCTTTTTCATGTGATGGTGCAAATATCCAAGGAAAAGATCAGTGGAATAGAGTAAGTTGCCAATAAGTGTAGAAAAGCACTGTGCCTGAAGTGATAAAATTGTTTAGACAAATTTAAAACACATTTCTTCTTTGACCATAAAAGAAGAAGACTGGAAGATGAGACTGGCTATTTAACATTAATAGATTTTTTCCAAGGAAAAGAAAAAAATAAGTAGAATAACCAGATGGAAGCGACGTTTGAATAATACTCTTTAAAGTTCCCACTCTTTTTAAATATTGACAGTGATGTTTATTTGTAACCCAAAATTTTTAGGAAGTTTCTACATATGGTGAGTGTTTTCATTCTTTTTCTATATCAAACCTGAAAAATAAGATGTATCTTTAGATTTGAATACATTAAGATACAAGTCTCAAATGTGATCATGACTCGTCTGAAATGACCCCTACCCATTCTATCCCTTTTGAATAAAGTTGAGGTCTGCACGGAGCTTTTGATCTGAGCTACCATGACGATTTGTAGCAAGGAGAGAAATGTCGTAGTTCCCAGGACAGGTGTAAGCACTGAAGTCCTCAGAAAGTGAGTTATGCAGCTGAGAACTGAATCCGCAGCTCCTATGGTGTCATCGAAGCAGCCATTATTTCCCCCCTGTTCTTGACTTGGTGCTAATTAGAATTCAAAACATTGATGTCATTTTATCTTCATAAGTGGGGGGATTTTGGGGGTTTATTTTTCTCTTAAGCACAGTGTGTCTTGGTACCCTGTTCTTTTTGATACCAGTCGACGTTACAACCATTAAATATGATGCTATTTGCCACCAATATATTTGAAAAGCATTGAATAAATGCTATAATTCTTTAAGTGATACTTTTACATTCCAGCCAGTTCAAGCTTTCTGTGAAAATACTAATGGAATCCAGTATTTGTCTGAGGTATCATGTGTGCAGTATTGCTAGCTAGAATTAATTGCCGGAGCACTAAGCCCTATCGAATTTTCTGAATAATGAGCAAGTTGTCTATATCTTACTTGGCTGAAGTTCGCAGCCTGAGAGACAACCACTTGTAATAGCAGAATTGCAGGACTGCTGGTTTTGTGGCTGGCACCTAGAAGACCTCTCATGTGAATGAGCGATGAAAGTCAGTTCTGTCTTGCAGAGAAATTGGCTAATGCTCTCTTAACTCAGGCTACTGATGGTAAACTTTCAATCAGCAGCAAGCTTTTTATAATCTTTCACGAAACTTTACTGGTGATACTCTGCATTTTAAAAAAGGCTTCCTATTAGTAATTTTTTTCCTGTGGAAAAAAATAAGGAACCTTTCCTCAGAAACAAACCAAAACACTGTGCAATGGAGTGGGAATTAAGTGACACCATAAGGGTTGACCAAAAATAGTCTCAAAGGAAGTGGTTGAATGAAAAATTTAGTAGCAAAGCACAAAAGAAATCTTTTAGAAGAATGCATTGTATTTTTTTAAAATAAAATACATAGGATTTTGCCCCATTTATAAAATAGAATTGTACAAATTCCTAATGAAAACATATATGTATAAATTAAATTAAAATCTTAATCTACCTTTAATTTGCATTGGTCACTGGTGCAATAAAATTTAAACCTTAATTGTAACAAATGATTGCCTTTTGTTTCCCAATAAAATGTGAAAAGCTAAATTTTACCTCCTGAAGAGAACAAAAACCCCACGCTAGTAGTTATATAAGGAACAGTCTTCTCTTTACAAACTTTATAATGAAATTCAAATGTACACGAATACTTTTCAAGGAAAGATTTATGCTCAGTCTGATGTTACTGCTTGAGCTCCTTAGCTCGACATTAAGAAATGGGTGGTTATAAGACTGGTTTGGGACTTTAGCATGAGTTTGTTTGTATGAAAACTGAGTATACTTGAACTTTTCCTTTTATGGCTCTCCAGAATACAAGCCTTTTGCCAAATGTGCCCCTCTAGCATGACATTAACTACTATTAGAATAAGCTGAAAACAAGCTGATTAGAAACCCCATAAAAAGTTCATTATTGTCTCATAAACAGATATTTGCTTCTTTCAATTAGGAAAATTCTATTTTGTATCTTAGAGCAAAATCTCTTACTTGTGATTATTGGTAACGTTGTACTTCTCAGTGCATTGTGTGATAGTGGCTTCATTGGCCATCTTATTTTAATCTATTTCTGAAACTGTTTTCCCCAGCTTTTTTATTGAGGGCTTTCATGAAGCTGATGCTTAATCACTTGCTTCTTATTTTGATTTCATGCTTGCTCAGAACAGATGTAAGATTTCACATCTTAGATTTAGATCATTTTCCTTCTTACCTCAGGCTTTCCAAATGAAACATAGAGTAATTATACTCGTGTCTGATTCCTGAATGTTTGTTGATTAACAAAGAAATTGATATATTAGGCCTACAATCCTATGGTAGGGAGTATTGCAGCATAAATCTGAGAAGCTGGCTTCCACAGATGCATAGTGCAATAAAATATAAAGCTTTAATGTAACAAAACTCTTGCCTTTTGTCTCCGTGGAATATATTAAAAAAAACCAAAAAACAAAAAACCCAAACAAAACAGGTCCACCTCTTCAATAAAAAAAATAAGAATTTTGTGGATTACAGTCTTCTGTTTACCAAGCTTATTTTGAAATTCACTATACTGAATACGGATGATTTCGATATAGCTGCAAATGGATTTAGTCACTTGGTCTCTTTCCTGATTGGAGACTACCCGTCAACTGCATTACTTCTGTTACTCACTTGTTAGTGACTTCTTCATAATTTGTCATCATACCTGTTTCTGGTAAACATGTTGGACACTTAGCTGTGACTTTTTCTAAGAGCACTGCTGAAAAATGTTTTTCCTTTTGTTACATCATAATAAATACTTCAGTTATTTTATGATGTGTGAGCTGCTGCTGTTATCCCCATAATCCTTAGCAGCCCAGAAGGTCTCTACTCAAAACTGCTTGCAAGATCTCTAGACAAATGAAATTATAAGGAAAGTTTGGTTATGACAGTGTTATAGAAGGTATAGAGATGTTAGAGTCAAATAGCAGCTAACAAAATCAGTTACGACTATGCTGATAAGCACACCTATCCCTGTTAATAATAGTTTTCGTATGACTCAGCTGTTCACTTGCGCAGTGTTCAATTCTGAAGATCCCACAGTGTCTCTAATGCTACGGCAATGCTAAGAATATAACCTCAATCACTAAATCTCATTCTTTTGTCTGGATATCAAGGCTGTGCATAAAATAGCATCCCTCCTCACCTTGATGTATTGTTCCACATGGAGATTTATATCCATGTAGATGGTTAACTAAATGCTATATGATATCTATAGAGACTTTTTTACCCACAAAGCAAGAGTACAAATCATATTTTGGCTCGTATTCAATAAAGCATATCGGCTACTTCAGAAACTGTGAAACGGCCCTCTAAGCCCTCCAGAAAACATGGCTTGTGCCATCTGCCAGGGCAGAAGCTTAGAAAGGTCACAGATGCCAAGGTTCAATAAACAGCTTCTTTTAAAAAACAACAACAAAAGACAGTGGAACTAGGAAAAAAGCCTTTGATGTGTTTAAAACAGAGTTGTATGAAAGCCTGTCCTAAAATTTCTCTTGGTTAACTGTCAGCTTCTGACACGCTCTT